AAGAACCAAAAACCCAGCCTAACTCAAGAAATTTTCAGTATTTAGAAGAAGACTCTGCCTTTTCAATTCTTTTGTATTTTTCGATCTCTCCAAATATGACTTGCTAAAGAAGAAACTATGCCTTTATAGGCAAGCTTTAGGGCAACAGAAATGAATTTTATTTATGCTCTTTTATCCTTTTAGAATTTTTATTTTTACTGTTTAGTCCCTTAGTTTAAAACCAGCTTTTCAAGAGCAGTTCCAAACCTTCTTTCTAGGAAACTTCTCCATTCAGTTACATAATATTCCCCCACCTAAATTCCTAAATTAACCTTTAGGACCCCTGTTTTTACCCCTGAAACCAAACGGGTCAAATTGACCTAATGATTCAACCCAAACCTGGGCTTGCAAGACCCGGATTGAATCCCTTTCTTGGGCTTCTGATTTCAGAACCCAAGTTCAAATCACAATCAAAGGCCACAAATTAACGGGCTAACCAGAGTAAACCTGAAAACCTTTAGAATGAAACCAAAACAAAAAAGGGGAATGAACTAATTAGACATAAATAATAAAAACCAAAACAAAATAAACTAAATTTGTTATCAATATAATTATGCAATGAAACAATGATTAAAAACGAAAACGTAACAAAGAATAAGAAAAGAAGAGACAGAGAAAAGATGAAGATGAACTTAAACTAAAAAGAAGAAGAAAAATGCAAGAGAGAAAAAGGTGCTGAAAATACCTAAGAACCAGGCGGACAACATCTTGAAACTAACTCTCGAGCTTTTCAATTTTGACCTAAATGGGCCTTAATCATGTGTTCTCAAATGAAAACACACGAATAAGTTCAATTTCAGCATCAACCTTCACTAAATTTGCTGATTTTGGAATTTTAGGTTTCAGAACTTCGATTTAAGATTCGAAGAATTTTGGAAAGATTCGAGGGAAACAACTTAAAGATTGGGGGAGAGGGAGCCATGGGGGTTTGATGGTGTAGATTTGGGGGTGATTAGAGGCGGCGACGCCTGGAACTTTGGAGAGGATGGAAGGGTGACGTTAGGGTTTTGAGGGAGTCTCTGAACGAGAGGTGAAGTG